AAGGCAAAAATAGGTGGGTTCTGCTATAAATAGGTGGTTCTTCATATTATAAAGCACTTCAACAAAAACTTTTTGCATCAAACTAGTTAGGTTTTTTTTCTTAATTTTTTCAGGTTAAAATCGGTCTGGCTGACTAAACTACCTGGCAATTGGATGAGCTTACCCAGGTGGCTAGACACATTTCTCACACTCTATTTTTCAGATTACCTATTACATAAAAGATATAGAGTCCATGTTGAAGTAAGAGAGAACTTAGAAATAATATAGTGTGCTTGCAAATACCTGCCTCACACAACGTGATCTCCATTCTAGGGTAGAGAGGGCACATTTGTTCAACTTGTTTACCTAACAAAGCAAAACATAACTTGCATGTGTTGGGTTATTTTGAACAGTCATTTGCAAAGCTTCAAAACACAAACCAGCAAAAGAAGAAAAAATAGGCATCAGTGTCTGATCCCAGACCACAGGAAGGGAGGAGCCTCGGGAGCAGCTGAGCCGGGGTCTCTAACGCTGTCAGAGATCTCCTCCTCCCCGCTTCTCTCCGCTGGCCTGCTTCATTCTCACAGGTATCCTTTACCTACCCTGCTAGAACCAGAGCCACTTGCAGTTCAGATATTGGTACCTTCTCAATGTCAAAGCAAGAAAGTAAAGAACCTCTTTTTCCTTTCCACTAGCTTGATTGTGGAAATCATTTCACAATGTACACATGTATCAAAACATCATGTTATACACCTTAAATATATACAGCTTATATTTGCCAGTTATGCATTAGGTGAACTTCCCCCCCCCCCTCTTCAAACATTCTCTGATATTCAAGTAGGTGTTCCTAGAAGTAAAACAAAACATCGAAGATTCTTTTTCTCATCACTTATAATTGGCTATATTAATAATTTTAGAGTACCATTAATGATCTTTCCACATAAAAATAAATGCTCTAGAATTATTCTAATTCGGCAAAGTCAGCAGTGCCCACGTCATTGAATGAAAGTACCATAAACATGTGCTATTAGTGGAAATAAATGGCTATTTCCTTCATCACATAGACATGTCTGGGCAATTCTAGGAGCCATAGAAATGTGTCTTTTCCACGCAGTGTTGGGCACCACAGCCAGTGACACACAGGGCTCTGAACTGGAGCTGGAGGCTGACCAGCCCACGTGCAGGTGACTTCCACTCTGGACCATCCTTTCCTTGGCTATAAAAATCATAGGATTGGGTAGGGAAACTTACAGGTGTTTTCCAGTTCCAAAATGATATAATTCTAACAGAAATTTCATTGGCATAATTGGGACATAAAAGTGCCATTGTTTTTATCACTTAGAGTAAAGCCAGCTGTCAGCCTCTCATTTATTAAACCTTTACACAGCCCCTTCCCGCCCTCTGGGCCGGGCGGCAGGGGCATGGGAGGAGTACATGGCAGTCCTTATCCTCAAGGAGCATGCAGGCTGGGTGTGCAGAGGGGAGCGGGTGTGGGGAAAGATGATTGGAACGCAATGTCGCAAGGGCTCTGTCACAAGGGAGATTAGCAGACAAGGAGCACAGGGAGGAAGTGACTAACTCCCCTGGGGGGTGCCTGACAGAGGAGGTGCTATTCAAGACGAGCCTGGAAAGCTGAGGTCAGTAGATCATCTGTGCAGATGGCCAAGCTTGAGAAAAGAAAAACTGGGCAGGGGAGAAGCACGTGACAAAGGAGCCCCTGGCGCTCTGAGAAAGGAGTCTGTGGGAATGGGTCAGGGTGAACTTCGTTCTCCTTTTGGCAGGAGGAGCCACCGTAGGGCTTCACACAGGAGTTAGCAGGCACAGGCCTGCCTTCTAGAAGCTCCCTGGTGGCAGTGCAGAGGGTGGATCAAGGGAAAGGGACCTGAGGGCAGGGCCACTAAGCCATTGGGAGGCTCTTACAATCATGGCTGAATGAGCTGATGGGAGTCTGGATTGAGGCAGAGGCAGAGGCAGGGGCAGGGGCAGGGGCAAGGGAGAGAGAAGACAGGTGCTACTGAAGGAGGAGAGGATGTTCCCAGGGCCCATGGACTGAATTACATTTACCATGTTGGGAAGGAAAAACTTTTCTTGTGCCCTCTTAGGTTCAGTTCCTAGGGGGTGTGTTAATTTGTGTTCTGTGCTTCAAGGGAGGCTAAATCATGGGAAGTGGCCAGGAAATAGAAAGGGGAACTAATGGAAGATAAGTTGGTTTAGTAAATTCTGTTATGCAAGCTGACCTCAGTGTCCACTCTGTCTTGCTCCTCCCTTCCTGGTACCTTCCCAAAGGGAAACTTACGTCCTCCTTTAAGCAGATAAAGGGAGGACAGAGAACTCTTCCTACATCTGTTGATTCTTAATTGCCTTCAGATAAAATAATCCTTGTGCTAAACTGGCATATTGTGGGTGGCATATTCTGATCCCCTTTAACCACATGTGTGGTTTTGAGTTTAACCTCACCAAGCCTCACTTTTCTTATCTCCAAAATGAGATTAAACTTGGCAGATTTGCCATTAAATTGTAATCACACAATCCATTTAAACTACTCAAAACAATAGTAAGTGTTCAACAAATGTAACTCATCATCATTTTTGTTATCATGCACCACACCTCCAGTCCTCCCCGAGGGAACAGAGCCCAATGGAGCTGACCAGCAGCGTGACATTAGCACGAGGTCAGTGCAGACGGGGGCTCAGCGGGCAAGTGAACCCAGAGTGACCAGGAGCAGAAAGAGCCGGAAAATGAGGCTATAAATGCTTAAGCAGATAAAGGGAGGACAGAGAACTCTTCCTACATCTGTTGATTCTTAATTGCCTTCAGATAAAATAATCCTTGTGCTAAACTGGCATATTGTGGGTGGCATATTCTGATCCCCTTTAACCACATGTGTGGTTTTGAGTTTAACCTCACCAAGCCTCACTTTTCTTATCTCCAAAATGAGATTAAACCTGGCAGGTTTGCCATTAAATTATAATCACACAATCCATTTAAACTACTCAAAACAATAGTAAGTGTTCAATAAATATAACTCATCATCATTTTTGTTATGTACCACCTCCAGTCCTCCCCGAGGGAACAGGGCCCAATGGAGCTGACCAGCAGCGTGACTTTAGCATGAGGTCAGTGCAGACGGGGGCTCAGTGGGCAAATGAACCCAGAGTGACCAGGAGCAGAAAGAGCCAGAAAATGAGGCTATAAATGTCCTTTGGGTGTCCAGGGTAAAAGCTATAAAGCCAGAATCTGTCATCAACGTTAAGGAACTAGTATGAGGCCTGAAATAAAAAATGAAGACAAGAAGGTCACGAAGAATCAGGGACGAAGTGGGAACCAAGAATAAGGGTTTAAGAGAGGAAAGAAGGTCTCAGAGCAATCGCTGCTGAAGAGCAAGGGTGTAGGTGGCCCCGTTGGTCAACTTGGTTTAAAAATCAGGATGGACCAGAGCAGACGCTGTTGACTATCACCCTCTATTGACCTTGGAAACACTTCCCAACAAAAGACTGGAGAAACCTGTGGTGAAGAATCTCTCCACTTTCAAGGACATTAAGCCTTCCCTGAACCCTCACGGTGGTAGGGACAGCATTCATTCATTCTCACTGTCCTTCCCACCCAAGACTGAAAATATGAGGGAAGAGATCATTGTAAGTTAAAAGAACTTTTAACTGACTTACCACGCCTTGTCTGAATGGTTCCCACCTAGTCATCCTTTCATCCTCTCAACCCTCGACGTAGACACTGTCATCACCCCCATTTTAGAGATGAGTAAGGTGAGGCTTAGTGCTGGTGAGGAACTTGAGTGAGGTCATCCAGCCAGTAAGATCCCGATGTCAGATGTCAGAGCCACCCAGTGCTGGGGCAGGACGCCGGGGAGGCCGGAGAAGAGATGAAATTCCCGACCTCTTTCTCTGAGACCGGGGGCACGTGGAGAAGGTTAAGTAATTTGGAGTTGCTGGGGGAAGAAGGAAGTTGAGGTTGTTGAGACTAGACGGCCTCTGTAGTCTCTGAAAAGCCAAGCTTGGTTTATGTGAAAGTGGGTAGTGGTGGGAAAGCATGAGGCCAGAGATTTCCTGGAAGGGGCCTGGGACCCTGAAAGACTTAGAGAAGAGCTCGTGAGGGGTGCAGCCCTAATGAAGACTGGGCCTTCCTGGGGCAGATGCTGCTTATAGAGTCAGGAAGCCCCGGGGCCTTTAACAACACCCAGCTGAGAGCTCTGGTCTTTTGAAATGAGTTTGGGAACCAATACAATATTGGGGAGGGGGAGGGAGCATTCTAATGTTCGCCTATGGAGAGGTTTGTGCTAGAACCTTTTGGTATTTACGATGCGACCCCAATTCAGCAGCAGCATTGCTTGGAAGCTTGTGAGAAAGGCGGACTCTGGCCCCCGCTAGATCTACTGAGTCCGAATCTGCACTTTAACTAGGCCTCAGGCGACTGCTGTGTGCATCGGGCGAGAAGGCCTGTTCCAGAAGGCAGAACTGCCAACCCCGAAGCGGCTGTTCAGGCCTCAAAGTCACTCAGGGTCTACGATTTCATTGCCCTGATTCTCAAGACATAAACCTCTGGAGAAGAAGTGCCTGAGTGAGCAATTCTAACACAACCTGGATAGCCAAGTGCAGATGAAAGATGGAAGGGATGACTCCCTAATGTTCTCTGAAAGGAGGAGCAGGTGTGTAGCCTCGTGCAGGAGAACATTCCCACCGGGTATTCTGTAGCCTCGGAGCAGTGTCTCTCCCGTCATCCAGTCATTGCTGAACACCTACTATGTGTCAGGCTCTCTCCTAGCTGCTGGGGAAACCACAGCAAAAGAAACATGCAAAAATTCTTTCCTCTGTGATGCTTACGTTCAAAAAGGGAAAGAAAATAAAGCAAATCAGTCAAAATCAGTTTGCTAGATGTTGTAGTACTGTGGAGGAATATAGAGCAGGAAGGGGTATAGACTATATCAGTGGTAATTCACACTTTTACCAAGTTGCTATTTTTAATCTTCTATTCACCACTAATATTTAAGAAAACCATGCTAGGTCCAGTTGTTTCATGCTACTTTATTTAGAGGGTTCCATTTTCACTTCTCAATAGGCTTTATATATTTCTTATGCTTCTTCACTCATTGATTCATCTGGTTCTGAAAGGTTACTCAGTGTCATCTTTATCAGCCAACCATCTTCATAACAAGATTTGTTGACAAGTCCTGGATTTTCTGCAAGAGCGTCACTAATTCCAGACACTTCTTCTGATCCAGGAGAATGGAGCTCACCAGCAGCTTTCATACTTTCCAAAGCACCAAAGGCACTTATTGAATTTTGCCTCAATTTCAGGCAGCCTACAAAAGCAACATCTCCAAAGCTTCCTGTGCAAATTGTTGACTCCCACTGCTCAATACCACTTTCTGTTGTTATCCATCCATGTTTCTCTATGAATTCATGCACCAAGAACAGATTGGGGCAGGTGCACAGCTTCTGGACAGCTCCTGCCCTCCAGCCCTGGGGGCCAAGAGTGGGCAGGGCATGGCTGGCACCAAGGCTGTGCCCAGCCTGCAGGCCGTGGCGAATGCTCCTTGCAGCTGGGGCGGTAGTTTGCACTTTTAGATAGTGGAGCCCTGTAGGCCTCTCTGAGAAGGTCACATTCAGTCAAGACCCAAAGGAGGTGACAGAGCAAGCTAGACAGGTCTCTGCATGGAGGAGCGTTGCAGACAGAATAACAGCCAGGGCCGGGCCCTGGGTCAGGAGTGAGGCCGGCTTGCTTAAAGAACAAGGATTCCTGTACGGCCCGAGAGGAATAAACAAGAGGAGTAGGAGAGTTGGTCAGAGTCACACAAGGCCAGATGCTGGTGGGCCTTACAGGACACAGTTAGAATTTCTGCTTTTACCATGAGTGAGTTGGCAAAGCAAAGAGGGTTTAGAGCAGAGGCGTGATGTGGTCTGACTTATGTTGTAACAGGGTCACTCTGGCTGCTGGGTCAAGGAGAGGCAGAAGCAGGGAGAGCCCCTCAGAGCTGCTGAGAGAGTCCAGCCCAGGGACCTGGAGATGGGCGATGCAGGGCTGTGGGGAGGAGAGGCTGGCTGCTGGATATGGAGGGAAGGTAGAGCCAAGAGGACTTCCTGGCCAGTTGAATGTGGAATGACTCCAGGGTGTTCTGCCTGAGTCACTGGAAAGTTGGAGTTGCCATCATCTGCAACGGGGAAGACCTCAGGCGGATCAAGCCAAACAAAAGAATCTGCAACAACAGAACATGGTGCAAAGCACTTAGAAAAAAACGTCATGATTTCATTTCACCTGTTCCGGGAGCAAGTCATTTTTTGCTTTAGTTGGGAAAGGTAAGTTAGGTGTTTCCTCTCCCCTCCTTAAAAGGATGGACGAGAGTTTCGGATTACCAAGTCCTTGCCAAATGTCAATAGTGAGCTGGCACCCAACGCTTCTGAGCTAGTACAGCGCCCCGGGCACAAACAGTGAAGACCAGCTCCCCGCGAGGGAAACCGTAGGCTGGATCTAACCGGAACCTGGATGAGCACCATCAGTCACGCTCCCTGCACTCCTGCAACATCGCCATTCTCCAAAGCAAACCTTTAGTTAATGCCACTTGGTGCCTGGCACCTTCAGTCACAACTGAAAAAAGCCTTTCTCTGCCTACAGGAACCCCAAGGGGGCCAAGAGAAGACCTGTCCAGGGGACAACGCGGCCAGGCTGATTGGCAGTTGGAGAGCTCTTCTCTCCCCGCCCCCGCCCCTGACCCCCAGCTCTACTGAGATATAATTGACAGATATCATTGTGTAAGTTTAAGGTGTAGTGTGATGATTTGATAACTGTGTGTATTGTGAAATGTTTCCCGCAGTAAGGTTAGTTAATGCCTCACACAATTACCATTTTGTTGTCATTGTTGCTATGGTGAGGACAGTAAAGCGCTGCTCTCACAGCAACTTTCAAGTACACAGCACAGTATTGTTCCTACAGTCACCGTGCAGCACAGTACATTCCTAAAACTAGCTCACCTGATAACTGGAAGATTGTACCCTCCCATTAACATCTCCCCATCCCTTGGCCCCTGGCAACCACCATTCTACCCTGTTTGTATGAGCTCAATGTTTTTAGATTCAACAGATAAGTGAGATCATGGGATATTTGTCTTTCTCTGTCTGACTTATTACACATAATATAATGCCCTCAAGGTCCAACCATACTGTTGCAAATGGCAGGGTTTCCTTCTTTTCTATGGCTGAGTAATAGCCCATTGTATGTGTATGCCACACGTTCTTTATCCATTCTTCTCTCAGTGGGCACTTCGGTTGTTTCCATGTCCTGGCTATTGTGAATAATGCTGCAATGAATAAGGGAGAGCAGATACCTCTTCAAGAGAGTGACTTTCTCTCCTTTGGATATGTACCCAGAAGTGGAGTTACTGGATCATGTGATAGTTCAATTATTAATTTTTAAAAATATATATTTATATTGATTTCAGAGAGGGAGAGGGAGAGAGAAACATCAATGATGAGCGAGAGGAACATCATTGATTGGCTGCCTCCTGCACGCCCCCTATTGGGGATGGAACCTGCAATCTGGGCATGTGCCCTGACCGGGAATAGAACTGTGATCTCCTGCTTCAGAGGCCAATGCTCAACCACTGACCCATACTGGCCAGGCTCTATTTTTAATTTTTTGAGGAACCTCCATACTGTTTTCCATAGTGGCTGCACCAATTTACATCCACCAACACAAGGGTTCCCTTTTCTCCACATTCTCATTTGTAGTCTCTTGTCTTTTTGGTAATAGCCATCCTAACGGGTGTGAGATGAACTCTTACTGTGGCTTTGATGTGTATTTCCCTAATGACTAGCAATGTTGAGCACCTTTTCATGTATGTGTTAGCCATTTGTATGTCTTCTTTGGAAAAATGTCAAGTACTCTGCCCATTTTTTAATTGGATTGTTTGCTGTTGGGGTGTTTTTGTTTTGTTTTGTTTTTGCTATTGAGTTGTATGAGTGCCTTATATATTTTGGATATTAAACTTACCAATAGATGGTTTGCAAATATTTCCTCCCATTCCATAGGTTGCTTTTTCATCTTTTTTATTGTTTCTTTTGCTGAGCAGAAGCTTTTGACTTGATGTAGTCACACTGATTTTTGCTTTTGTCGCTTATGCTTTTGGTGTCAGATCCAAAAAAAAAAAAAAATCATCACTAAAATTGATGTCAAGCTTTTTTCCTATGTTTTCTCCTAATTTTTCTGTTTTAGTATTTATGTTAAGTCCTTTGTCCATTTTGAGTTAATTTTTGTGAATGGCGTAATATAGGGGTCCACTTTCATTCTTATGCATGTAGATATCCAGTTTTCCCAGCACCAGTGGGGAAATTAAAGAGACTGTCCCTTCCCCACTGAGTATTCTTGGCAGCTGGAGACCTCTTTATTGAACCTTTTTGAAAATCAACAAGAAATATGACAAGAGCCCCTGACATTCAAATCTGGTTGTCCTCTTTTTTAAAAAAAAAAAATCACTTAATTTTATACACCACCCTCTGAAGAACATTTGGCTTATATTACACAATTTCAGCACTGGAATCCTTTTTAAAGATCGTCAATTTTATGAGTTTACAGATGGTGAAAAAAGAATATATAGATTAGCCAGAGTTGCACAGTTGGTTAGGGGCAGAGCTGAAACAAAGTCCCCACCCTGCTGACCCTGTCACAGTGATCTTCGGGGCCCCGACCTGCAGCTCACCGAGAGCTACAGGTGTGCTACAGGTAGGCCAATAAATGGCAGTGCCCACCAATTCTTGCAGAGAGAAAACTTTGACCCTGTTTCTTAAACTATTGAAACTGCTGTGACATTTGAAATACTGGCAAAGCCTTCTAGCTAGAAATATGCAACTGCCAATTAGATAAGCTTACACATTGACCCTCTATGCACTCTCATGGGATTTCCATTGTACACAGCATACTGGATTTCTTTAAAAAGTTATTTGGTTAAAAGTTTCATCTCTGCTCTTATATTTAAGCTCTTCTACTTCTTTCTTTTGGGGTAAGGGAGAATGAAAGGTCTATAGAGTGTCGTATCATATGGATAGGCAATCAATATTACTTAGGCAACCCCAGATAGCTTACACAATATGTTTTTCATAAAATCAAGCCTTTGTTACTCTTCATTCACAAACACACACACACACACACACACACTCTAATCCCCTACAAATTAACTATGTGAGTTTCCAGGAATAGTCACCGAAACAATACCATGGGAATCACTCTAGCCTGGATTCCTGCTCCTTTAACACACAAACACACAACCAATTTAACACACAAACACGGCAGTTTTTTGCTGTCCGTGAACTTCTGGGGATACTGTGCTGTATTGATAAGTACACATTGTACTGCTTACCCATCCATCCATCGTCTTCGGTATTGTCAGAGACTGTGCTAAACAGTCCTTAAGTAGGTCACCCTGCAGTACTGCCCAGCGACAAATGCCGCATGCCACGGGACGCCTCACCATTCCTTGATTGGAGCACACAGAAGACTTCTCGAGTCTCAGGCCCTTGCAGTTGCACATGGCTATGTGACCATGTGAAAAGAAGGGAGTGTCATTTCTGGACCCAGCACCGAGAAGCCCAGGTGGGATCCTCCAGGGTGATGAGGAGGCCACAAACTGCAGACGATATGGCTACGAGATGGTGGAGCCTCTGGCGCCGTGGTTTGAGTGACTGTGTGGAGCAGAGCGCCCTGCCAATTTGGCTGGAACGTATAACTGGAGCTAGAAATGAGGGTTACTGTGTGAGACCACTGAGCGTTGGGCTGCTTGTTCCTACAGCATTCTAAGGAACCCGATGACTGCAGCTGGTATTGTTTTGAAGCCACGTGGACCAGGAATTCCCCCTATAAATGTCCTGCACACTTCCCAGCAAGCCGCACGTTCCAGCCCTGGGGAAGGACACACAAACCCCGTTGCACAAACCCGGGACTCCTCCAGGAGGTGCCTCCTCCCTCAAGAAATGCCACCTTCCTCTGGCCCCCGCCACACACCTCTCCTGCTCTTTCCAAACACACTCATGGGCATTCAGGGAAGACGATTACTGGCAATCCCGGTGCAGCCAGGCCTCACTGCCAGGACCCTCCCCCCAGGAGCTCGTGCCCAGACTCCAGCTCCCTTAGGAAAGGATCCCGTCCTTGGCTGGCCTCCTGGCTCCTCTCCTGCCCACTCAACGAGTTCAACGCACAGACAGTTTTCTAAAAAGAAGTCTAAGACTCACCTCAGTACCTGTTAGAGGTGCTATTTTCTCCCTCTGTCCATAAGTACACACTCGTATTTCTGCATTTCTCTCTCTTGAGCCACCCTCCACTGAGAGCCAACGCTGAAATCTGAAATGCCGTCCTGAGGTCACCGGGTGATCTCATAGGTTGTATCATCTGCTCCAGTGCAGGCAATTCCCATGCAGATGCTTCCAACTGAGCCTCTTCCAGGCTCCACTTCTGATTTTCCAGGGTTTCCTTGTCAGTTGGAGCCTGCCCTCTCCTGTTATTTTTAGATTTGATTTCACTTTAAGAATATAAAGGGCCAGGGGTGGGGATGGGGAGAATTTTGTTTCTTTTTCATTAAAAACAGATGACAAAGACAACTCAGTCATGGAAAATAATAGGAGTCACTATGTCTTGCTGGCTCCCATTCATGTATTTCCTCCATCAGCCCCGAATGAGCAGAGAAGCAACAATGCTAATTAAGGCTCCTCTTCCTTCCCTAGAAGATACACATTGTCTAAGCAGATGTCTACTGGGATTCCATTGGGAAACTGCATATGCTGTTCTTCGCTTTCCAGTCCTGCTCACAGAATGACTGTACTTTAGAGCTGGAAGGAAACTTGACTATATGTTCTGTGACTACAGGGAGGCGCCCAAGGCCAAGGGAGGTGACGGAGAAGGTCCAGCCTGTGAGGTCTCTCCATTCCCACCTTCTCATCACTGAGCCTGTCCGTTGCATCCACATTTCTGAGCTGCCCTAACAGTCAAACTAGAGCTCCTGCAAGTGAGGCCCCTGCCTTGTATGTTCTGCTCCCCAAGTTCTCATGAACTAGCAGACCAGATAGATATCCCTGGTTGAAGCACTGGGCTTTCCGTTGGTCTCCCACACACGCCTGTTTTAGTTTACCTCCTTTCCAGTGACATTGTCTCTCTCTCAGACAGATTTAGCCTTGTGCACATCCAACGAGTTTGGTTGGTTATATGCTCCCCTGT